AAAAACTCATTGAAAATTTTGATAACAAAATTACTAACTTAAAAGGAAGCACAACCAGACTACCAATCAAATCCATTATTATTTAGAGAAGATAGGTAAAAAAGAAATAAAGAATGTTAATAAGACAAAAACTAACACAATTAAGGGAAACCTAGAGAGAGTAACCAGTCAATGTGCAACATTGTCCTAGATCAACGAAAACTGATGGAAGATATAATAAACCTAGACAAACTCTTAATTCAGAACCAATATGTTCAACATTCAAACAAACATATGCACAAATTATACAAAAGTAATATACTCTAGCAATATGGTTTATAATACTAAACTGAATCATGGAAAGAAAAATAATGATAGGAATGGATCATGAAAAAAAAGGTGGATGCTATGTTCAGCAACTGTAAACTACAAAAAAGGCACAATCTGAAATCGTAAATCGGAAATAACAAGAATACAAATTTAAAAGGTGTACCAAAAATGGTTTCTGTTTATATTAGTAGAATAGATGCGGATAGCACAGAAGAATCTATAAAAAATCATTTAATAGAAAATGGCATAAAGCAGTTTGAAACTAAAAATGGGCTATTCAGAAAGTATCCAAACATTTACAAATCATATATAATCGACAGTTCCATCAAATATATTAGAGAAAATTAAAGAGCCACAGCTATGGCCTTGAAGGAACTAGTATTAGTAATTTTTTATAAAACCAACTAGCAAAATCAAAAGGAACAACAGAAGTAAATAGATTATGTGCAAAAAAAAACTTAGTTTCACCCATTATGTGTCAAGTACTTCAAAATGTTCAGTCTATTGGCTCAGCTTTTAACAAACTTCAAATACTAGCATCTGAGCAAGGCGAGCTGATATTTTCGCAGTTACTGAGTATTGGAAAAGCTATGACGAGATTAAGAAGCTAATCAGGTGAATAGATATAATTTGGTGTCTAGCTATTTGTCGTGAACGTGGTGAGCATGGAAGGTTGGAGCAATCTATTGTACAAACAAAATAGTGCCATGTACAGGACAGACATGAATTCAAAGCGCTAAGTGTTAGAAGATTAATTGAGTGTTTGGGTGTTCATCTAACAACCAGTGAATTTGAACTTCTAGTTATATGTATGCATAGACCTGATTACCTAAACCTTTTGTGATATGGATATTTTTCTAGAAAAGCTAGTTATTATATTGGATATATGCTTTCATGAAAAGTGCAATTTTGTAATAAACAAGGAGATTTTAATGTAGATATTTAATTATAATAGCAGGGAAACCAAAAATTTATTATAGTTCTTGAAATATTATAATGGGAATATAACAAATTTCAATACTCATCGTCTACATCTTCATGGAACATTGCTTAGATAATATATTTACCAATCTCGGGTGGCAGTAGATACGGTAGTACGATGGTCTATATTTCTCTGATCACTGTGCATTGAAATTCGTATGTAGAGACCTATTATCCACAACACCTAATGGTGATATCAGTCCTTAAAAGAAGCATTAATGAGCACAATATCAACAGTTTTCTTTCTGGAACTTTTTTATGTTGCATGGGACGATTTATACTCAGATGGGGGGCTGATATTGATCGGACATGGATGCAGTTCTTATCACGTTTTAGTTTGATATTTCAAAAACCTTTAGCGCTTCCCCACGTGAAAAAAATCGAAAATATCCAGAAAACGTTCCTTTTATATCAACCCTCAGATTAAATCACTGAAGGATAGTATTGCTGGACATTTTACGCATTATGTCACAGGTTGGAGGCCTCAATAGCAAGCAATTATATATCACGACTAAAAAACAATATGATGTTTTGCATTATTAATGCAAAGAAATCCTATTTTAGTGACTATATAATGAGAAGTCAAAACAAATCAAAAGCCGTTTGGAATGTTATTAATGAATCAGAAACATAAATCAAAACCGACACCTACCTTGTCTAGTACAGATCCTATTCACCTTGCTAGTGAATAATTTCAGTGATCTTGTTCGCTAGAACTGCGGATATACGGAATGAGTCTCCAAATATAGTGGGCAGTAATAGAAAGTTAGTTGACTGGGTGTATGGAGAAATCGTTTTAGATGTTTAGATGTTTCAGAAGAAAGGAAATTATATCAACAGTTAAACTCCTCAAGTGCTCAAGTACGTCCGAGTCATGACAGTATTCCGATTCGATAATTATAAAGAAATCAATTCATTTAATTGCTAAGCCTCCTCGCTCATATTAAAGATCGTTCACTTCAAACAGGGCATTTTTTCCAAAGGACCTGAAAGTCGCTTTTAATTTGGTATGTCCAATATACAAAAAGGGGATGTAAATGAACTTGAAAACTATCGCCCGATTAGTATACTGTCTTCTTTTTCAAAAATTTTTGAGAAAATCTTGGCAACTAGGCTACTTAATTTTTTTCAAGAAATTCAAGTTAATTTCCACTCAGCAGCATGGCTTCGCATGAAAAATAAATCAACGGAAACAACTATTTTCGAATTAGTTTCGACAAAATAATAACATCTCTGGAAAATAGAGAAATACCTATTGGTCTGTTTTTGGATTTGGTCAAAGGCTTTCGATTGTTGTTCAAGTATAAAATACTGCTCCCACGAGAATTGAGGAATGTGGAATTAGAGGTAACCAGTTGGAAGCTAATAAAGCAGTTATTTAGAGAACAGAATACAGAGAGTATATGTCTCCGTTGGGGGTAAAAATACTTTTCCGAAGATAAATATATTAACATTATTGGGGAGTTCCACAGAAAAGCATCTTGGGGTCGCTTCTTTTTGTCATTTACATTAACTCTCTCTTTGCCAAAGAAAATTCTGTGTTAGTTGTCATCCACTTGTCAATCCAAAGTAAGATGAATTATGTAAAGAAAATGGTCTGAATATTAACATGCGGTGAAAACGAACTGTCTTCTTTTTTGGTGATGATGTCACCAAGAAAACTTTCACACTGTCGTGCTGTCAAGACCTGTCTGAATACAGTACTGAAATTGAAATTTTAAGCAGTCGGTTAATTTCTTAGGAATACACATTGATAAAGATCTGGAAGTGGGAAACACATACAACAGCATTGGAAAAAGTCGCTTTAAATTCAGTCATTTACACTATTACATTCATAGGGGTCTCTCAAAGTTTTATATTATGCTAATTTTCAGTCCAATTCACTGTACCTACGGCATTATATTTTGGGGTAGCTCCTCACATGTCCAGGAGATCTTTGTTGCACAAAATGGGTATTATGAACGATGTTTTGTCTGGGATACTAGGGGAATCGTGTAGATGTAAGTTCAGATCTAGTGGAATACTGACCGTTTATGGCCTATACATATATAGGTTACTTCTTTATGTGGACATAGTAAGTGATTTCTACTTTGAAAAACTGTAGAAACAAAGAAGACATATATACAAGGCAAATACATACTTTCTTTTATCCAAAGCGACAGTTACTTGGACATACCGCGAAAACATGAGCTCTTCAAGAAAAGTATATATATGAATTTATATAATGAACCATATAATCTAGCTAGATATTTTCGAAACATGTAAAGAATCTTTGTAAATTTAATTTGGATGTAATTCACTTTCATTAATTTCTGATACAATTTTGTTGAAAAGGTATGATGACTGTTGAATAAAGGGAATATTATTATTATCATTAATATAAAATTTAGGGCCTTCCATAAGGATGGGATTTACAAAATAAGGCTCCAAAGAAATAAGTTTTATTTTCTCAAATAGTCGATAATAGAACGCATAATGTAATGTATACCACTTGCCGAGTAATATCACGGTGAAAACATCACATTACACAGTACGCAACGTGGATGAACCGAATTGAAGCACGCGTGATGGTCTGCGAGTATTGTTTAACGTAGATGGAGTGATGGTGTGACATCACATCACACCTTAACGTACTGTTTTGCGCACGTCAAATAAGTAGCCAATGTGGAGTCCCAGGGAATGGTTTATGGTGGTCGTTGTATAATAACCACTATGGAGTAATGACAGGTTTGCAATAATAAGCCTCTGTGTACTCCAGATTATGATGGACAAATGTGAATCTTTCAATACGAAACCATTAGTTTTGACTGTTAAAATATAACTACATATTTGACTTGTGTTTTTCGACTGATACAAAGAATACAATGGGACTTTAGAAGCCTGAAAGCTAAATCAGTAAAAATGTACATATCAAAAATACATGAATACATCTGAGTTGTTAATTTTGATTATTATTTATTATGATTGCCACACAAGTAGAAAAATATTTTCATATTGGGGCAGTTCAACTTGTTAAAAAATACTATGATAAAAAAATATTCAAATAGAACAAAAAGTTATAAAAGAAAAATCACATTTAAAGGATGGAATAACTTCAGATATTGAATTATGGATTTGTCAAGTCTAAAATACTTCCATCTAATTGAAAGCCTCTGTGTGCAAAAACCTTCAGAAGAAAAATATTAATTTATTGAAAAAATTCACTGATTCTACCATTATTAATTTATTACACTTAGTAATAAATTAATACTGTTCATTACTTCTGTTTCAAAAGTTTTCTTTCCATCTTCTGGTAGAAGATTATTAGACATAGATAGTCTTAGAGACTATCAGTCTAAGATGTCGATTCCTCAACGTGAAATTTTGTGTTTTTGTTTTGTTTTCTGTGTTTTTCAATTAACATCCAAGTTCGAACATCTAATAACTTGAACTAAGCTGTTCTGATGATAGCCAATTAATTTCAAACATAAGCAGTAAAAAATCGGCTGTCACAAAAAATAAACTTAACGTAAATTACCAGGAAACATGAAGTAAATTTCTTCATTTCACGTATTTTTCCATACTTATATAAACCTTGTTAAATTTATATATAAAACATATATAAATAACAATATATTTATATATATATATATATATATATATATATATATATAAAGAAATATATTATATGTAAATTTGGAATCGAAATTAGCACCGCAAAATGTTTTCAACCCTTCGAGCTGGGATATTGGAACCCAGGTCTCTCAGGTTTACGCCCTGTTGCTCTACCAACTAAGCTACCGAGGTACTACTACTTCGCTTTATGATGCATACGAACGTGAGTAAACAGTTTCGTGCAGTTTGAAAGACGACAACCCAAAGTGCGTCGATGACTGGCTTGCGAACATAAAGTAGTAATCAGATATTATCGATATGAATTTGCATCTCAAAGTGTAGACCTCAGTAGCTTAGCAGTCCCAAAGCAGTGGGGGCGTAAACCTTTTGAAGACCTCTGGGTTCGAATCCCAGTCGAGTTCAAAACTTTTTGGAAATGTAATTTCAATTCTCAATTTTAACTGTAAAAATATTATGATACATTATATATATATATATATATATATATATATATATATATATATATATATATATATATATATATATATATATATATATATGATATTGATTAATTAATAATGTGACGAATTCTTATATTAAGCCTCATGGTACTTGCCATTGTAGGAAATGTCTTTATCCTTCAGCTCTAAATAATTTTTATTGAAGTAATATTGTGTACATTACAATTAATCTAGATTGATTAACTGGCCATCTTCTCTTTCATATTCAGAAGCTTATTTTAAGCATCATTAATTTATGAAATTTTGTTTCACTGTGGGTGTCAGCCTTTTCCTTTTTGAGTCTGAAGATTTTGGGTATTCATTCCCCTTGTCCAAAATATAATTAGCATCTGTTTAATACAAGCAATACTTTGCGTTGATATCAAACACTTCTGTTTTCTTTTTTCAGTTTATTTCTGTCTCAAATTCAAATCTTAAAAAAGGAATATTGAGATTACCAGTTCTTTAACTATTCAATCGCACCACTGATTTATGAATCCCACTTTAATTACAGGTGAGGGAGAATCTTACTTTTAACAAAATCTTTCCAAGAAATAGCAGCTTTAAGTTTGAATGGGTATATTTCACATATGGAGTGCAGAAACATTCAAACAAAAGTTATCAAAAAGAAAACTACCTTTCAGCACATGGAAAGTGTATGTTTAGCTGTACAAGATTCAGGACTGTATGCAATAACAGATGTAGATCATACACATTACTTTTAGACTCGAGAACACTACAGGTAAGTTTAAAAGGATCTTCCAACTAACTTTTTCTTGAGAATTTTTGTCTGTCTATATTTGAGACTGAAGTTTTGTCATCAGCAAGAACATATGATAGTACCTCTACAATAAAAAAAAATTCTAGTTAACGTATACTGATTACAAATTGTAGCTTGTTGTCAAAATTTGGAAATTAATAATTTTCACTAATGAGAACCATTGGTTTCTGATAATTAATCATAATAATAATTTGTTTCTGTCATTTATTTGAGAAAATTATTTAACTCAAAATGTTGGTATTGCTACAATTTTGCTTAGCGCTAAAACCAAAATTATTTATAATGCAATAATAGATTTTATTTGAATCATTGTCAGAAATTAAATGATACATAATGAAAAGTTTGGCTTTAGCCTATTAGCTTCATTGGTCAATTTGAGAGGAAAATAATGGTTTATATTTTGCTTCAAAGAAAGTACATTTATCTTCTTATCTATTCAAATATTTCATATAAATTGCTGGTAATTTTGTGTTTAATGACACATTAGAAGTTTGTAATGTTTTTTGTATTGATTAGTGCTGTATAAATATTAGGTCTAAATTCAACTGAGATATTTCATATCTATTCTTGTCATTGATATTTTTGTCATTTATATTTTGTAAATATAAAGCAGTACTTTAATTGCACCTCTTCAGTGTTTATACTTTTCAATTGATTTTTCTGTGTTAACGTTAATTTCATACTTTTCTATTTATTTTGTGTTCCACCTCCACGTCAGTTTATTTGGATTTTTGTATAATTATGATAATTAACAAATATTTGATAGCTTGATCAATTTGATGTCCCCTAAAATACTCAAAGAAGGTTTTGAATGTTGTATTCATAAAAGTTGTACAACTGGAATCTAAATGAGATCATCTAAATAACTATCTTAGTAACTTATTGATTTCATAATTTCTTATTTACTTTCAAGAAAGTACCAGTGAAAAAGGGTTTCATCCAAGGTATACAGGATGTGGTATTCGATCTGCTAGTTTTTCATGGAGATATTCTCACTAAGATAGGGACTTTGGACTTGGAGGGTGCTCATGTTTTATGATCTCCAAAAGCAGGAAAAATACTTAGATTCAAGCTATTAAACTCTTCCAGGACTGTTGTTCTCAAAGCCAGTAAAGTGTACCAATGTCGTAAGTAAATTTTAGTGATTTATTATACATTTAATGATTTCTGTGTATTTTTTTCTTGAAACTTTGGAAAAAGAAGTCCAATATTTGTAATATACATAATATTACATATCAAAAAGGACTTGACATGTATTTTAAAAATACATAATATTTAACATATCAAAAAGGACTGAATAACATGCTGTTATAATAAATTAAATTCAAATAAAACTTGAAAACACTATGCGTATTCCTGTAATGAATAAACATTTTTGGAATGGTTTAATCATATTTTCTGGAATTTACAATATTACACTATTGGGTATTCAATATTGCCAAAGAAAAGTAATTTTTAAAAAAATGATGGCCTCATTTCATTGGCCTTTAACTTGCTAGTATACCTATAAAAATTCAATACCTATTAATTACAATAACCCCTTTTAATTACAGTAACCATCTTTGATTTAAGTTCTAAGACTTGGAACTGATTAAATTTTACTTTTATTATAGTTTCCGGATGAGGAATTCAATGATAATGTCTCAAAATATGAAATACAATCCAGCCATTATACACTCACATTTGTTATGATTCAAAGCGGAACAAAGACTGTTTACAGCTGGAGGACCACTTCCTGTCACCAACTGACAGTGAAATTATGTTGGATTATGGGCAATAAATTGAAAGGCTATTTGAATTTCAAAGCAGATTTCATTTATTAATGATCCTCAAGGTAAATGAAACTTGATGAAAGTGGAACAGAAAAACTAAATGTTTGGATTTAGACTGAGAATCTTTATCCATGTTTTTCATACTTGAATGACAGATGCCTTATTATTATTACATTAAAATTGTATGGCAGTTATGAAGAAATGTATAGAATATCAATTATTATCTAATCATTGATAATTTTTTAAAATTTCATTCCTGTGTAGTATATATGTCGGGAGAAATTCTAAACTAATTCGAGTTTGAGATTTTTTTTTCAACTGAATATTGATTGAAATTACATTAAACCCTTCATCAAAAAGCTATGGTTTTTATATTGACTTCTGCAAGAAAACCATGTTTAATGTATAATTGGATATTAGTACTTTATATTTGTGGCTTTTCTTACATCCTATATGTGCAATTGTTGATAAATTTTTCTTGCTTTAAAATAAAAGTTGCATTTCAAATGTGGCTTTTCTTACATCTCATATATGTTTACATAGTATCAATGTGCAATTGTTGATAAATTTTCTTGCTTTAAAATAAAAGTTGGGCATTTCAAATGTGTGAGATCATAAAATTAAATTGTATTTAATTAGATGCAGAATGTCAATATAGATGTCTCATTTTTATTCAATGGATTTTGATGAAATTATTAAGTGGGTCATCCCATTGGATTTAGAAATATCTTTTCAAAATTTGAAATACCATATTATTAACAAAGTTACATTCATATTTTCCAGTAAGGAAAGTTAAATAGAATCATTTTAGTTGAAACAAAATGTTATATGAATTAGAAGAATTGTAAAGTATATATATAAAAGGAGATGAACATTTCTAAGAACATTCATTTGAAAAATTCAAATTAATCAAGAAAATGTAGACTTAGATATGTGCACGTGTATGATGTGATGTCACCATTATCCTTCAAGGGATAAACGTTAGAGAAATATTGAAATCGATGCCACACTGGATGGAGGTGCGAGACATATGTTTCGTTCTGCAAGGAACTCTTCAGTCGCACCACCACGATTTCAACCTCCAAGCATCTCCTTGTGACTTCAAGTGGAAGATCGTAGAGTAATGAATACTCCACAATTCCATCTATAGAAATCAGTAGAAAACACCCCTCTCAGATTACAGACACACCAAGCATCGAAATCTCACATAATAATAATAGGATTTTATTGAAATATACTTTCACTTTCATGACAATTAACAAAAATAAAACAAACAGAAAATAAACTAAATTATAAATTTACATGAAATGAAGTAAATCAACCTCAGGGCGGAATTCAGAAAGGGCATGCATGAGCTACCTCTGTTCTGCCACCTCAAATCCTGATAAAAAAAACACAAAAGTTTAATATTCATTTGATATATCCAAAAAAAAATTTTACTTTACTTTAAGGTATACAGCGATAACAACTGAAAGAAACCATAAGTCCTTAAACAATTAAATATCTATGATAGTGTTTTCTGTTATAATTGAATTACATTGTTTCTCAAAAATATATTCACCTTCTGTTCTGAATAAAGATGCTGTAATATTCCGTAGGATAACGATATAAAATGGTTATAATATGCGTATATTGAATATGTAAAAGATCTTTGAAAGATGGGGCCAAACGATGAGAGGAGGCGATAATGAGTCCCTATTTCTGGTGTTCAAGGTATGCACATCAGTTCTGGAATCTAATCTTCCTGTAAATATATGGAGGCTGTTTAGTTGTTATTATATTATGATATAGAACCAGAGCTGGAAACTTAAATCTGTTCCATTCATGTTGTTGGGCTGCATTTAGCATCTCTCAATTTATGACTTATTCTATTGAATTTCCATCAGGCCATAAATGAAGCGTAAGCAGCAGTTTTGAACTTTTTTGAATTTTATAAAGAGTACCTTGATCTAAACATGACATCTTTGAACATATATATATATATATATATATATATATATATATATATATATATATATATATATATATATATATATATATATCTATATATATATATATCTATATATATATATATATATATATATATATATATATATATATATATATATATCTATATATATATATCTATATATATATAT